TGGATTAAAAACTGAAATGCGTATTTTTGGCTATGTTCATTTTCGCAAACAATCGTTTTGAATTTTGTCCATTTTCATTCATTCCAATTTTGTCATTTGTTCATTCTCTTCGATCTGTGTTCATTTTCGTAAATACGCATTTTGAATTGCGTCCACATTTAAAGACTCACACGAATCGCATAATCTATGAGCAAAAAAAAAGAGATTTATACATAAATGCTGAGTTTAAATTTCATTGGTAACCAATTAATTTTGCTATTTAAACATTAAATGTTGTTTTACTTATTTTCATAAAAAGTTATGCTTAAAACACACAACCTCACATTTGAAACTTTGCGTAAATCTAAATTTTATAAATAATTTTGGAGAATCAATTTATATTTCCGTCTGGAAGAAAATTACTTTACATTTCATCTTATTTTTCTGCATGATGGGCTTTCATTTTGTAGCGGTATATATATATATATATATATATATATATTGTCATGCAAAATCACGTGAATTGTGAANCGTTAACACAGGACTGACACAGTTCCCATACAGATATATTTACTTTATAAAACAACATACAATGGCTGTCACAAATTTCATAAATAATCAAACTCTGCATTATTTTCAAACAGCCATTCAAACAGCTACTGTATTCAACGTATTTTCAAAACTATGGATGGTATATTCAGTAGAAATGTAAACAATCTCGAGCTCGGGACCTACTCTAGTTCCGGTAAACGTTTGCAGCTGCTTACTACACGTTATTCTAATAGGCGATGTTTTCAAACGGATAATTTTGTTTTCAATAAAAGAAATAAATTAGATAATTTTTGATCTCAAATCTGCCGTCTTTCACAAGATATTAATGTTATTATGTAATTCTGGGGAGTTTGGAGTGAAAATGTGTTTTAGTTATTTTGTTATTAATTATTAAAAAAGGTGACATGGTTACTAGATTTTGAATAACTCGCTTTTTTGGCAGTCCTGATTTGGCCTCTGTCCATTTGTTTATTACTGTTTGTTCGTGTTGCAAGCTGTGCACCATCTTACGTTAGGTGTGTATAGATATATGTATATATATACAAGCATATGTATGTTTCAAGTCAGATATATAAATACAAATATTCTGTGAAATGGTTACAAACCTAGAAGGGGGAAAATACACATTATAAAGAATGAAAATTGCAGATCATTCTATAACCAGAAATGTCATCGTTTATATTTAGGGGCACTTTATGGAATGACTGTTCTCATTATGTTAAAATAATAACCCGGATTTTACGTTACCCTTTTTAAGAAAATCCCTCTTTATGCGTTTTTCTAACAGATTAAAATCATTTTTCTTCTCTTCAAAGTTCGCACAAACTTTCTTTTTCTTTTTTTTTTCGATTATATCATGTTCGGTTTTATTAAACTATCTGGTTCCAGCAAACTTCCAACTTTTGAATCTTTTGAATTATCCAATCATTTAAAAAAACGTAACACTAAACAACTGGTTAAGTAATCATTTCTTTTTCTTGACTCCGGTGACCTTCCAAGATTCTTCTAAAGCAAAAATAAAAATTCTGAAAGCTCTGAATTTGCTTTCTACAATGATGGACAGTGCCGACTAAAATGTGTCACAATTAGGTTTAATTAAGTTCCTTGGGGTTGAATGCTTCGCAGTATCCAACGGAAACATTGGCTCTTGGGAATAAAATTGCATGTCTGAAGAGCTTCCGAAGTCTATGACGTGTATACGTCAGCAACATACGTTCCATTGCTTTTCAATTCCTTTAATATCTGCTCTCGGTGATAGTAATGAAAACGATGAAGATGAGCAAAACATACCCGAGCGTATACCCTCAACTGATGAAAGCATAAAATCTTTGAGACATTTGCGAAAGTAAACCATAAATAGAATTTGTTAACAATAGTTATTGAGAGGGATATTGTTGTAATTGTCTCTAAGAACAAAAAACGTGTAAAGATTACACATCTTTTCTAGAATTTCATCTTGTAAGTGTCGATTTTTGAAGCATTTTCTCTCTTTTTTTAATACCACATCGCTTCATGTGTTTTTTGACGCTAGTCCGGCGGAAAATGTAAATTGGGGTTCCACTATGCATATATATGTGTTTGTGTGTTGTTGTTGTTGTTGTTGTTTCTAATGTCACTTGCCACACGGGCAAGCCTGCTTGGTGGAACCGAGCAAATTTAAGGCAGAGCGTTTCTAGTTCCTTAGTGGCGCCATTTATGGCCAAGAATTCGACTTTTGCCACACCATACGTCGCACCCGTTTATAGGGCGGACCCATTCATTCATCCACAGATCGTAATTTTGACTTGAATCAGAGAACGATCGATCTCCAATCCAGTACCCCCAGAGGTGTTGATTTGTTATGGGAACATGAAGGACTTTTGCGACTTGACAGATTTAACGTGCATCAATCACTTTACTGCACGGGGAGTCTTCGGTCTGCGGGGTTCGAACCCACGAACTCTAGGACATGGGCCCAGCGACCTACCAACCAGACTATCCCGGCCCATATTTATGTAATAGATGGCAGTCGTACCGAGCAGGAAAACAGACACAGGACTTAAATAAAAGCAAAATAAATTTTATTTGATCATTTTCAAATGGATGATGAGCGAAAAGTGAAGTTTACTCCATCGTGGTTCAGTCTTTCTGGTAGGGAAAATCTTGCGAAAAATCCGAAAATGTCTCAATTTAGGGAAAAGAGGGAAATCTTATAGAAATTATTATTGGTTTATTAAATAGGTCGCGCTATTTCCTCAAAGAGTAAAGGGGGAAATGTCTTTACTTTTAATTAATGCATACTTGAGCCAAAAGTACATTTAAGGACAGGATGTGAATTTAAAAGTGTGAGAAAGTGTTTCGATTAGAATAACTAATAAGAAATTGTTTTATAGGAAAGAAATAACATAAAAAGATTAATAAAAGCTTTTTATGATATATATATATATATACAAATTGAAACTTTTTTTTAGGTAAACAAACGGAAGGATTGTGTAACAAGTTATAAAATAAGGATACAAAATTAAATTTTTGTCACCTATAACGGAATGTGCTGTATTTATATTTAGATATCAGTGTTGTTAATTTAATGTACTTTTAATTCGAGTATGATTTTTTTTTATTTTGATAGTTTCTTTTAAAAAATTTATAAGGTTTTTGTATTAACTACAACATGAAAGTAATATATATATTTCTTAAAAAAACACGAAATTTCATAATTTTGAATTTATACACATAACTTTTAAAAAGTTTAAAATTTCACTGTCACTTTTTCTTCTTTTTTTCCATAGTATTATTTCATTTACGATAATTAATCAAGAGCTTCATTAAATGTTTTTTATTTTTTATATCTAGTCTACTCCTAGTTTGAAATAATTGATTTCTACTATTTCACTTTAAAATAAAGTTTGCTAAAACATCAATTTTTTTTGTTTTTTAAAAATGATGAATATTTGACAAGAAATAAGTTACCTGAATTATATAAACATTCCCTAAAATGTTACACATTAGGAATAAAAAAAATTTATGAAAAAAAATGCCTTTACTGCAATACAAATAAGAATAAAACATGTTCTATCACATTTTAAAGCCTTATTAAATCTAAAGCTTATGGATGGTGTGCTCTGCAAGCTCTTGAGTGCCTATATTTCCGGGTTACTATTTTTAGTGTTATTTAAAGCTATTTGGCCAATTTATTTGATTTGTTTTATTTAAATTGGATTTTTATTATCCTTTAAAAGAAAAGGTTGCTACTCCACAGGGAATTACCTAAATAACAGGGAAAATGCAGGGAATTTCGATTCTTTCTTAACAAACTGGAGAAAAACAGGAATTTTTTTTTCTTATTTTCGTCTTTCAAAAAATGGTGACCACTCAATGCGCATTCTATGGGATATTTAAGGATGATATTTCAGCTATACTAAACTATAGCATTATTTGTTNGTGCTGCCACGCTACCCCCTCGCAATGTGAGGGAATTGCAGGACCAGTTGGTGAGCGCTTGGTACCAGATACCTCAGACTACCTATCAGCACCTTGTGGACTCAATGCCACGGCGGGTGCTAGCAGTTTTGAGGGCTAAAGGTGGTCCTACATGTTATTAGCAGAGTGGTCATAATGTAATGGCCCTTCGGTGTATATATCAGTACAGTTGTGTGTGCATTCGACTTGATTACCATAAAGTTAATGTGTACTAGATAGTTTTGAAAGAGTGCCAAGCTGGTCACCAAAGGCGGCTAGTTTCATGTCAAAAACTAAAGCTATTTCATCCGAGTTTTTGTTTGGGGACTAACCAGTGAAACTCTCCAATTTGATCTCCAAATCGATAAATTACGGTAAAACAGATATTTCTTCGCCTACATCAATACAATTTTCGACAATAATATTAAAAATATACAAAATTGAAGATGTATAGATAAATAAAAGTACAGGTCCGAATGCGCATGAGAAGCCTGCTCATAATAGAAAAAGCTCTCAAGCGGCGAAATATAGTGTTTTCAGTCACGAGTTGCTATTAAATTCTCGATACTAGGACATGCCCCCACTTTCCTATTTTGCTTATAACCACTATACTGTATTATCCAGAATAGTAAAACTTGAGTCATTGCGGAAAAGTTTAGAAACAGCTCGATTACTTTAATAGTACTGTGCAGAAAAGCCTCTTATTTTTCTCAAATAAATTAAAATTAATGTTTTATTTTCAGTTTTATACATTTTTCAATGTGTTTTTATTGTTTTTTTCTTTGTGTTAACAGTAAATATAAATTATGAAAAGCATAATTTCTAAGTTTTTTAATCGTAATTTCATAAGATTTATTTTTAAATATGATTATATTTCATAAGTAATGTTAAATAGTTTACATATCATTATGGAATATATATTGTTGTTTATTGTTTGTATAGTCAAAAAAATATTTTTTACTATTTACTTTAGTTTTATACTATGTTAGGACAACATCACAACATGTTATAAAATAAAAAAAAAACATATCTTATCGAATAAGCATACTTTATTTGACACTATACTATCTATTCAATTGGAATGTGTTCATCGGTTCCTGTGCCAATAAGCTTGATTTCCTTCTATGGTGATAGGCTCACTTTGTCCATTCCATCCAAAATTATTAAAAATTGCTGATCTTTGGTTATCGCCTTGTGCTGCCAAAGATCTTAGAACACTATTTGAATTTTTATCCAGTTGCTGCTGCGGAAGCTACAGCACTACTCCCACTTCCTCCAAAATTTCCGAATCCGCCTGCATTACTCCCACTTGCTCCGAAACCTCCCATACGTGGGCCGAAGTTTCCTCCATTTCCACCTGATGCTGAACTAGCTGCCGCTGAAGCTGCTGCATTATTTGCTCCACCTCCAAGATATTGGCCATTTCCAGGAGCTCCTAAATTTCCACTGTTTCCTCCTGGTGATAACCATCTCATTCCATTATTATTTCCACTATTTCCTGCACCGGCCGATGCTGCTGAACTAGCTGCTGCACTGCTTGCACCACCTTGAAATTGTTCACCATTTCCAAATGCTCCGTGATTCTCGCCGTTTCCTCCTGTGGGTACCCATCTGATTATAGTATGTGAACCTTCACCATTTAAACCTCCCTGATTTCCGCCTGCGCCATTAAATCCTCCCTGATTTCCGCCTGCGCCATTAAATCCTCCCTGATTGCCACCTCCACCATAAAAACCTCCCTGATTTCCTCCTCCATTATTTAAACCTCCTTGATTTCCTCCTCCGCCATTGAAACCTCCCTGATTTCCTCCTCCATTATTGAAACCTCGTTGATTTCCTCCTCCGCCATTGAAACCTCCCTGATTTCCTCCTCCGCCATTGAAACCTCCCTGATTTCCTCCTCCACCATTGAAACCTCCCCGATTTCCTCCTCCACCATTGAAACCTCCTTGATTTCCACCGAAACCATTGAAACCTCCTTGATTTCCTCCTCCACCATTCGATCCACCCTGGTTCACGTTACCAGTATTCAAATTGCCCTGATTGCCAGGTGCTCCGTTTGATCCAGGTATCCATTTCCAGTAAATTCGAGTGACTCCTGGAGTACCTCCTCCTTGTCCTCCATTATTTTGAACCTGGGAATTACCAGACGAACCTTTATTCCAATTCCAGAAGCTTCCTCCATTGTTAGGTGCTGGAGCAGGTAGAGGTGCCGGTGCAGGCACTGGTACTGGAATAGGAGCTGGAGCGGGTGCTGGTTTGGGTGGCGGTGCAGGAACTGGTACTGGAATAGGAGCTGGAGCTGGTTTGGGCACGCTTTCTGAACCACTTGATGCATCTGCAGCTGCTGCAGCATTGCCACCGGAAGCAGTTGCAGAGGCATCAGCTTCTGCACTTTCATAATATTCATCAGAATAATAATAATCAGAATCATAATAATCGGTGCTTGCTTCAGCCGTCGCTTCAGTTTCTTCATCGCAGTCATAATAATACTCAAACACATTACCATCAGCGTCTGTTACGAATGTTGAACCGCTACTTGAGCTTGAACTGGAACCTCCACCCCCAGAAGTAGTCCCACCTCCAGAAGTAGTTCCACCTCCAGAAGTAGTTCCACCTCCAGAAGTAGTTCCCCCTCCAGAAGTAGTTCCACCTCCGGATGTTGTGCCACCTCCTGAAGTAGTGCCACCTCCTGAAGTAGTGCCACCTCCAGAAGTAGTTCCACCTCCAAAGATAAAGCCACCTCCAGAAGTTGAGATCTCGCATACTGTTGACGGTAGAGTTGCTCTGCATCTGGCAGATATACACTAAAACAAAAGAAAATATTAGTTACACTACACACAACTTACAACAATTGATAAATAATTACTAAATGTACAGCGCGCAAAATCACCCTGAATAAATTTTGATCTAAGGATTCGATTTTTACGTCCCAGAACTCAATCTTAAGATTTTTAGAGAGTGATCTCAAATATGTTAAGCGCAGGTTATATTTCAAGTTACGAAATCAAACATAAAAAAGTAATTTCTGTGATTAAACAAAAAAATTTTCGACGGAGTCGAAAAAATTTATTAAAATTAGCACTAATACTCAACGCATATTTTGCCTGCGGGCACTTTAAACAAAATACGTTCGTTTGACTATTGCATAGAGTTGGTTTTATATTTTAGGTATTTTCATTGAGTTTTACTGCCCTTAGTTTGCAATCGTCACACATTTGTATTCTGTCGTTTCGAATGTCATGGATTCTTTCGAAACTTCTGCTTTTTCTTAGCATACATAGAGTGCTTAAATTTCTCAGTTACGTATTTATATCCCATCTTTGTCTGATGCCACTTTTTATTGCCTGCTTATAGATCTGGGCGAAAATTAGCAGTTGAAAGAAAAATGGTTCGAGCATCTATTACAGCAATACTCAGACCAGAACATTTTACCATTTGCATCTGTTAGTTTCTTTTTTTTCTCTTTTTTTTTTGAAGCAGGTGCGGGAGCTAATGCAAGAACGGGTGCTGAGTTTTTTCTGGAGCAGGTGTTGGAGCTAATGCAAGAGCAGGTACTGAGTCTGGAGCGAGAGGTGGTTTAGATGCGTTCTCAGAAGCAACTGATGCTGCTTCAACACTACCACCGGAAGCAGATGCAGCTGCTTTTGCTGATTCAACGTATTCATCAGAATAATACTAATCTAATTGTAGATATAATCGGTGTCTGTTTCTGCTGTCGCCTCAGTTTCTTCAAAAACTTAAAAATCTTGAAGAAATATTAATACTGTTATATGTTATAAATTAATTTCTCATATATATACATTCCGTCGGGAAAAAATATTCACACAAGCAGGCGCGCGTGGTGTGTCAGACATCAATTTCGATAAAATCTACTGATAAATTCTTTTCTAAAGCGCTTTCTAAAATGAAAACTTGTTCAAAAGTATCATACAAGTGGAAACTTATGAGGCACTCCACGCTCAACAAGTGTAAAGACAAGTGCGTTGACCATGTTTCGGCCGAAGAAGATAATGCAAGCCTCTGCCGACTGCTTGCTTCCGAAAGCAAGAACTACCACGCCACCACTTTAATTTTTTGTTATTCTTTTATCATTTTATTGAACAATGGTCAAAAAACATTTGAATTGTAACATATCTAAACTTTTAGGTAATTTTGCATTTTGTCACTTAAAATTACATACTTTAAAGCGGTGTAAAATTTCCACACAATTAAAAAAAATTACAATTATTATTAATTGAAATAATATTATATAATAACTATCAAAAATTACTTTTTGAGTTCATCTTTGGTGAAACAAATTGTATAATTGTTACAAAAATATTCGCATAAGAAGTTCTCGAGATTCGGCGAAATACGCGAAAAGTAAAATTAATAGTAATGGGTACAAACTTTCTACCATCATTCTCCTGCTATTGGGACTATATTTTCCAGATTACGGCTATCACCCACAGGGTCAAGAATCCAAAACTTTCGAAAAAAGTTAGAGAAAGTGTTTTTTTTTTTTTCGTGTCTGATTTCGGAATTTTAAATATCGTATGATCGAATTATTTAGTACTTTTAGGGATAGACTTTCGAACTATAAAGATTCAGGCAGATGCATACTAAACTGCTGTTTGNTTTTTTCGTGTCTGATTTTGGAATTTTAAATATCGTATGATCGAATTATTTAGTACTTTTAGGGATAGACTTTCGAACTATAAAGATTCAGGCAGATGCATACTATTTAGACAAACGAAAGCAATTTGCTTCTGAGCCTTCAGTCACTACTAGCGCCACAACAGTTTTTGTGGCATTTTCTCATTTTTCCCATTGTACTCTGAAACTCGCACTGTTTAATTTTTTTATTTTGAAAGTAAGCAAATATTATTTGTGCTGAATATTCGTAGATATATATTTTAAAATGCGTGTTTCTTCTAAAAATACCGAATAAAAAAAATTTCAGGCAATTAATAGGATTTAAAGTTAACCAAAATCGAGTATACTGATCTTGAATAATCGAGTATACTGAAGTTCAAAATCGAGTATACTGAAGTTCAAAACCTGTCGGTGTCAGCGGAATATTTATTTCCCACTCACCTTCTTTTAAGTATTACAAAATCATATAAAAAAATAGGAATGAAAAGGAAAAAAAAGAAATACTTCTGGAACATATTTAGTAATAAATATTACGATGAAGATAAGAGAGAGTTGTAACCTGTTTGTTATCATATAAGTTTCATTTTTACAATTTCAATTTGTAAAAAATCATAATTTAATTGGCAAAAAATAACTTTTTATATCCTCAAAAAAGGTACACATTAAACAAACTTGCGTTAGTCGCACAAAAAGCTAGTGCATATATTCTACAAGTAAATAGTTTACGTTCTATTTTAATCACTAGATGGCAGCGCCAGTTGCTATAGTAAATATTTCCGTAAGTTTTAAACTCAATGCAATCGAAGATATTGATCTACTATCCTATAAAATTTTCCTTTTATATAATATGCTTATGCTCCCTCCCCCCAAATTAAAAAAAAAATTGTAAAAAATACTTTAGTGACTCGTGAGTCGCATAAAAAGCAAGTTTACATTTTTTGTTCTTCAAAGAAATAATAAAATTACTTTGATCTTTATCATTGTCACTAGATGGCAGAATTAATGCATGGAGACTGGGTCGCTTCAAATTCTACAGATGTTTTAAAATTTCCAGTGGTTTCCTTTTTTTTTTCCCTCTTTGGATTGAGTTTTCGAAAGTGTAAAGCAGACTATTAAATCGAAAGTTATTCTGTGTGCTCACTATTTCGCGCAATTTAATATGTGTTTCCCCTTATCTCCAATTCAAATTAAATGCTGCCGTTTCCTTTTCTTTATAAATATATTTCTTACTCATACATTTTACTTTACCTTATAAATTCATTAAAAGAAACATACAGTTAAAGTCACTTTTTGCAAATAATGAAATTGAAACTACTCACGTTGATTGAATTTTCGACTTGAGCTGCAGTAAATCCATTCTAAAAACAAAACAAGTTCCACATATTTAATTATATAATTTTGAAAAATTATTGTACATTCTAATATATTTTAATTTTAAAAAAAAGAAGAAAAAACTTTATTAAACTGGGAATCTAAACTATTTTTTCCTAAAAATGTTGTCTTCAGTTGCAAACTCATTTTTCCTTAATAATTCTATTAATATAACTAATACGCATAACAGTTTTAAGACATTTCACTAACTTGTATTATATTCTTTGAAAATAGAATAGGCTTCTGAAGGTTACGCAATTTTCCTACTCTTCACACTTTTCCCCTCTCTGTGGCTATGGTATCCGCAATTCTTCCTTCTTCCCACATCAGTTTCAGGAAAAACTGGGAATATTCTGGCATGGGGAAAAAGCAATATCTGCGATAAAATGGTATTGAAGAGGGGAAACGTGTAGAGAGTAGAGAAATCACGAAACCTTAAGGCGACTATTTTATTTACAAAGAATATAAGGTGATACTGCATTAAAATTTAAATTGGTACCGGTCCAATCATGGAATTTCCCAGACTCAATGAAGTGTTTCCTTCATTGTGCCAACTTTACTTAATATTATTTTTCTAATTTCTAATAATTACCAAACATTTTATTCTTGTAACTTATGCGCAGTATGGAAAGCAAAAATTACCTTAACATGAACAAAACTGTCAGTAGGAAAAATTGGATCCCATAATTAATATCCAAAAATAAGTATCTCATTGATAGCAACATTTCCCTAAATTTAAAAATTTTAAATATTTGCTATTTCCAGAATTGGTAACATAAATCTTGAATTTGAATATGTTCTTATTTTGACGAGCTATTAGTAGCTGAAACATTGAGATACTTTGGAGATTTTTGTTGTGCAGTTAATCTTTAAAGATTTAAGAATAGTTTTTTTTTTAATTATTTAAAAACTTTTTTTTTTCATAAATTTTTTTTTCCAAGCAGCTGAAATGTGTGGAAAAAACTTTGTGTGTGTGCAGTAAAAAATATTTCTACGTTTGCTACCCATTTTAAGATAAATAATGAATAATTAAATGTAAGTAAATGACGTGAGAACTATTTTGTAAATAGAAATGTATAAAATTTATAATGATCGTTAGATGTTTAAAATTTATAATTACCACAAATATATGACGAGTGAATTATTTTGTCAATAGAAGTGTAAAAAATTTATAATTATCGTAAATAAATGACTTGAGAACTATTTTGTATGCAGAAATGGATGAAATTTTTAATTATCGTAAATAAATGACGTGTAAAGTATTTTGTAAAAAAATATATAAAATTTATAATTATCGTAAATAAAGGACGTGTGAACTATTTTGCAAGTAAAAATGTATTCAATTTATAATTATCGTAAATAAATTATGTCTGAACTTTTTTGTAAGTAAAAATGTATAAAATTTATAATTATCATAAATAAATGACGTGTAAAGTATTTTGAAAGTAAAAGTACATAAAATTTATAATTATCGTAAATAAATGACGTGTAAAGTATTTCGTATGTAGAAATGTATGAAAATTGTGAATTATCGTAATTAGTTAGTAAGTTAGTACTTACCGGTGCATGGCCACCAAGGGAGATTTGTTTAGACTGTAAAAAGATGGAAAATAATGTAGATTAGCATAAATTGAGAAATTTAAAAATTAATATTAGTTTAATAAAGCTAATTGGTTGAAATTATTTCATTAAAAGTTAGTACAAAATTGACATGTAATTAAAATGCACTTTTTACCATTCTAAAAGCTACCTAAGAAAAATTCCATAAAATTCAATAAATTAAACAACTATTTCAAAATATTTTGTTTACTTTTCGCATGACGATAATAAAACATTTTTTTCAATGTTTGTATGTATCGTTAAAAAAACTAAGTTTAAGAATTAGGGGTGTGCAGAAGTTCGAAGGGATCAAAAACATTTTTTCAACTCCTACTCTATAGTAAGTATAAGTTAAGTCATATAGATTAAAAGAGATAATAAAGAAGATGATCCCATGGAAATTATTTAGACGAATATTTATAACTATGTAGATAAATATATTATGATAATGAATAGTATGGTAATTTAATTTATTACTTATCACAAACTTAATTAACCACATTGAGTTATATTTAACTACCAAACTATAGAGCAAAAAAACACAGAAAATCATTAAAACTATTGAATAATCGAGATTAACAAATGAAAATATTAATAAGTTATAATTTTGTTTGAAAAATTCCAAATTCTAATTTATGCGTTACTTATTGGGAAAAAATGTAAGCGAATGAATTTAAAGCTTCATTTTTAACAGTTTCCTAGTTTATTATATTCACTATAAAGATAAAATTTGTCATCAAACGTTTATGTATGCTATACTGTGTGTGGGAAATATTGATATATAACTCTTTTCTTTAGTACTTTTGAGCAATTTCAGTAATTTGGACAAATATATTGTTTAATATTTATTTCTTTAATTGTTACCCTATAATTTTAATTGAATGCACTGTGAAACTATTTTTTTGCTTCATTCATACAAATAAGTTATCTTGCTTAATTCGGGCTTGAGGATTTCAAATCTGAAATTAGTTTTGTCTCTAAAGCTACAGATTTTCTTAAACAGCCGACCCCATTTTTTGGGGGGTTTATGACTAGTAATGTTCAATTCCGTAGCCTTGTAATTTTGAACCCAATCCAGAAGACAAGGGAACTCCTGGATTAAGTATCGGGAAAAATTTTGGCGGCCTTCGTTGAGGGCTTTTTGCGAAAACTAACCCGCATTTGCGTTACATGGTGAAGAAAATCACGAAAACCACTTATGGTCAGCCTGACAGCAATGGGACTCTAGCCCATGATCCGTCTACCATTGGGGATATTTTTACATCAGCACTGTGGTCGGCGCAAGCCGGGTGCGGGAATCGTATCAACCTGCCATCGCTGGGATTCGAACCCGGTTTACCTCATAGGAAGGTGAACGCCCTATCCCCGACTAGCTTATGCGAATGAGGGCACATCATGAGGATTTGGCCCCTAGAACATATCATAGATAAGACAAAAGCCCATGCCAGGAAATGTCATCGTACGTGGCTAGTGGTGTTTCCCTAGTATGAACTCTTTGGAAACAGTCGAAGAAACAGTTAATAACAGGGGAAATCGCCCCTAGCAGCGTAGGACGGCATTTCCCCACGTTGGTTAGTAAGCAATTTTAATCCTCTTGATGTGCACTAACTCCCCTAGAAGTTAGTCGCAATCCCCTGTTGTATATAACGTTTTTAAACTTGTATATTTCGTCAAACTCTAGACTAAAAATTTTATTTAAAAAAAATGCTTAGCTTGGAAAGAGAAACCTATCGCAGATTTGAAATCAGCGATATGAAATTTATTTAGATTTAAGTTTCTAAGTTAAAAAATCTTATGCAACAAAAGAAGAAAAATATTCCCTAGTCTTATCAGTCGGAGTCGCTCTTTTTGTCGAACATTTCGACTCCAAAGCAAACATATTTTTACGACTTACTGCACTGTTTCACAATAATATCTTCAGTGCTTTTAAGTAAAGAGAACATTTAGAAAATTAAAATAAAAACTTACGCAGATAGTGCCTTCTATGTGATCCATTACAAATGCTTCTTTATAGCACTGCAAAAATAAAATAAAAAATAAAACGTCTTAATATTGAGCATAACAACAATATAACATATATGCTTAAATATTTCTTGCAAGTGACGTCAGCGTAGATAAAGAGTGACATTTGGCCAGCCAAGTTCCAAGAGTGGCCAATCAAGTTAGACACTTGCGCGTGACGTCGCTTACGGGTATCCGATTAAATCTGATTTAAATCACATGGTAAGGCATAATCACTTCTTTTTCGAGTTGCAAATACCCAATTGCAAGCTATTGAAATAACAACACAAAACAAAATATACTAGGAGGCTTCGCCCCCTGCTCGCTGGCGCTCGCCAAGCCCAGGAACTGCTTTAGCAGTTCATTTCGAATTGCTTTGCAATCCGATGCTCGCTTTGCTCGCTCATTGGATACGTTCTTAACGTCTAGCTTTTGTATACTTTTTTGAACACTGAAGTTCCGAAAACTTTTCACTGTAGAAAATTCTAAACCTGTGCATTTCAATATTAATTTGAAATTGCAAACAGTTCACATATTTTTCTTAATCACACTATTCTAAATTTCAGTTGTTGAGAAAAGTAACTGTTGTAAGTTTTGTTTTAAAGTCTTTCCCACCAGAGGGCTAAA